GCAGTCCACAGCGCTGTACAGGTTCAGAGGACAAGTGAAACAGACTTGCAGTACCAGGGAATGGCCATGTGGTGGCAGCACCATGCGACAACACTGACCAAAACAAAAACATGGCGGTGACTCTCAGCTCTAGGCTCATTTCCGTTTCCAGAAAACTGGGAAATGCTCTGATTAAGTCCGTTTTTATTGCCCAAGCGGCAAATTTGGGCCACGACATGGACTCAGACAGACCAACGAAGGTTTGGCAATGCCATTCACGACGCTTTAACCACGTCATTTTTAATTCGCAACGTAACTTCACAGCTTTTTTAACCGGAATCTTGTTTTTATTTGTGAGCTGCTGTGTCTCATAACTCTTCCCGCGCTGTTAGAAAATAACGAGCTGAGCTAAAAACCGCCATAGACAGCAGCCATTCATGGGTCATCCAGATGTAGCAGGTGTTTAATGACATTTGTCCTCCGCAGCTGGAGTTTGCGGTGCAGATGACATGTGAGAGCTGTGCGGAAAAGGTCCGAGCGGCTTTGGAGGGTAAACCAGGTGAGGATGATCAATTTATACAGAAAAAGAAGCTGCTGTTGTTTGGTGATGCGTTCCATTACCCTCGGAATTTGGAACTCTTTTCTAAAGTTGCAAGTGGAAAAGCCGTGTTTGTGCGCTGTAAATTTTAGCAAAACAAGTAGATAATAATGCATTTTTCCGTATTCTGTGTATTCAGAGCCTTGTACTAACATGGTCACTCCTTGTATACGAAAGACCCAAACTGTCCGAAGTGAAAAGTTTATTTATTTTGATTTGCAACTCGAAAGTTCCGACTTTTGGGGGTTGTAAATGGAACGCACCACAAGTCTCATTTCATAACTTCTTTGCTTTTAATTTTGTTCTTTTAGTCGTGTTCTTGTGTCTTCCAGTTTATTTTGACTTTTTTTTATATAAGAGTTTGAAGGTAGTCGACACACTTTAAGGCAGCTTTGGAACACAAGTGCACAAAAATTAAAATGTAAAACAAAAAAGCTAATTCAATTCAATTCAATTCAAAAATCCTTTATTTATAAACTCTCCAAATGTAATGATTAGATTTGCATCTCCAGCTGATTAACTTTTGAAGTCAGCTCAGTTAAAGATGCTGTCACAGCAAAAAAAAAAAAAAAAACCTGCTTCAAATCAGTTCATTTTACAGATATTGAGCTCAAGTTTTGTGTGTTTATAGCTGTGTGTCATCCTCGATGCATACTCTGAGAGTAAGTAAGTAAGTAAGTAAAATTTTATTTACAAAGCACTTTTCTTAGAAATGACTTCACAAAGTGCTGTACAATACAAAAATACACAGTACAACAAAAAACATCATGGCGCTGTCCAGTATTTCCATCCCAAAAAGGTGTATCAGCAACAACACTGAGCCAAATGATAAATAAAAAGAGGCACAAAGAGTGACACATTGTGTAAAGTCTTATTTAAAATTTGCCRTCAGGAGCCAACTTTGTTAGAAAAGTGTGTACAGGTAGGTGGTGTGAGATCTTTGTTTAAAACGTCTTGCAAGGTGGTGGGCGATATGCATTCGTTCTAAGGACTCTAGTTTCATTTTTAAAAAACRAGCTAATAGTTCTACTTTTCTACAWATTTAAAAAGCACTGAAGGTYGACTTTCGTCCTCGAGGTTTTGAAACGTTTCTGCATCGGCAGGGGTCAAGTTGGTCAGCATCGATGTCGGTAAGGAGGAGGTTCTGGTGGAGTCGTCTCTGACCAGCACCGAGGTCCAGGCTCTGATCGAGAGCACCGGGCGCAGAGCTGTGCTGAAGGGCATCGGAGGATCAGAGCAAGGTGAGGCTTCAACCAGAGACAGGAGCTGAAGCTAAACATTTGTCCATCGTGCTTCTGCTAAAACAAAGAAGTGTCATGTTTTCAATCTGATGGGAGTCGTTTTGTTACACGCAGACGTAGAGCTGGGCGATATGATCAAAATTTTATATCACGGTATTTTCAACATTTTCACCGGTTTCACGGTATTTGACGGTGTTTTTCTTTTCATCACAGCTCAGCTGATAATAAAATGTACAAACCCTGCTTATTGACCTGATGCATCTCAGTAATCCAGGTTAAAAATCAAAAAGAAAAAAATAATATAGGTCTTCTGGACGGGTTCTTCTCTAATGAAAGGAAGCAACCACTGTTCAAAAGAATGTCCCAACACAGACGAGCTACATCTAAT